GTTACCTGATGTTAGATAGGTACAACCATGACCTGACTGTAGAAGATCCCTACATAGTTTATAAAGAATAAGAAATGCACAGTACCAATAGTTAAAGTGCACAATTGAGTTATTGTACATGCACAATAAAATTTCAAGAAATTATCAAAATTTCAAGAAATTGGAGGATTGGCTTTTGTAAATTAAATAAGTTTAAGGGACTTAAATGTAAATTAATAAAGTTTAAATATACTTCATATTAATAGATGTACAATAATAATAAATAGCAATAATGTGCAACTTATCATACGATAACGTGCAGTTCGTCTAATAATATTGTGCACTGTATCAGACGCTATTGTGCATTATGCATTATGAACCGACCTATCTTTTGTTTCAACTCTCAACCCAATCTAAAATCAAACTAAAATAATTGACTTAAAATATAATTCAGTTTATAAAATCATATTTATTATTTTAATATTTTTATAAAATATCTTATATTTTTATTTAGTATGGTCGGTTTGTTTATTTCGGCTATTTTAAAAATAAAACTGGTATCATACCAAAACTATCAATATTTCAAAGGTAACAAATTGCAAAACAGGCATATAAAATCCGCACCAAAATCTTAGTTCGATCGGTTTTAATCGGTACAGTACAACCCAGCAGTTACTAGTGTGCATTATGTTCAGCACTAATGTGCAATCTGTCTAACACTAATGTGCACTCTAAATTCGTTTTATAGTGATTATTCCAAATCAAAATAAAAAGAAAATAATTGGTACATTTAATCAATTAACCGAATTAACATAAATAATCTAAATAGGATATAATTTATATTATAAAATTCTATTTAATATATTAATTTTTTATTTATTATATAATACTATTTTGTGATCGTAAATACCTAAAATATATAGACACAATATATATGTATCAAAATAATATTTTTTATATAAATCGGTCGGTTTGGATATTTTGATCAATAAAGATGTCATATATACGAGATACCTAAAATTTAGAAGTAAAAATATATAACCGCACTTAAATATAAAATTCAAACTTAAAATTTGTCTGGATATTGCAATTGCTATGGTGTAATCTGGTAGTCAATAATGTGCAGTACCTGTAACACTAATGTGCATATGAAGTGCAACTATTTTGTATTGGTCTTTGATGTGAGTTAAATTCAATATATAGTATAAAAATTCTATAGTATTATTTGTTGAAAATAAATACTATATAGACAACATATTAAATAAAAATTAATTTCGAACGCGTTAAAGTGCATTTTGTCTAACGCTATAGTGCAATATGACATTCACTAATATGCAAAACAATTAGTAAAATTGTGCATTAAATTTGAGTTTATTTTTTTATTATTATTTTTTTATGTTCAAGTTCAAATTAAAAATGAAGTGAAATAATTTTTATTATTCAGTTTGTTGATTTCATTAACACAAATTGATGAAATGTTTACCATTTATTATAATAAATGGGAATCTATGCTTTCTATGTTTCAATCACTAACAAAAACTCACATTACTTCATGCCTTTTATCTTCTTTTTTTTTAGGGGTTCGATGATGACAGATAAAATTAAATAAAAATAATATTATTTTATATAATTTTTATAAATTGCAAGTTTCACACATGGGTGAAATTGAAATATAATAAAAATTCTAAAATTTGCAATTACATCCTTGTGACATATCAAATTCTCAAAACAAAGCCCACAATCTAAATTGATTTTCCGTGAACAAATATCTGCCGTCTATCGGGGGTTCGGACGTGGTGTCAATGGACGGGTGACCGTCGTCGATTGTGGCAGTGTCAGCGTACTCCGACTATCTCACCAACAAGGTGGACACGTGACGCCAAATTTCAGTCCCGTATTCGAGTCATATTGATAACTTGTTCACGATTTTATCACGGACCGAGTGTCTCCATCAGAGACTATGACACGGTATACAGCAGAACCCCAGATGCGCATACTCACACGATATCGACTCCACGAGTCGAACGTAACCTTTATCTGCGAACATAAGGCTTGGCAAAAAGCAACATGACATTCCCAATTCGCCGACTTGAGAAACTCTCAGGTAAAGCATAGGGACTCATCGACCACATTCCTTAATCTGAAATCATCGATTAAGGTCTTATACATATTTGGTGACACTCGGAGCTCTCGGTTCAAGGTTCGAACGAAGGTGTTCAAAAGGATAACCAAGTATTCCACCATGAAACGGTTTCAACAGTTCAGGAAAAATATCGATGGTTGGCCGTATACGCTGACCTGGGGAGTTCGTGCGTACGGTCATGGCGACTGCAGTTCGCATGCGAGTCAACGGTCGGCCACGCGCAAGCCTCCCGTCTCTCAGCATGGTCGTGCGTGTTCGGCCACCACTTCGCGTGGCTACACCCAGCCAGGGCCGGCGTTCGGTTCAAGGTTTCACAAGAAAGTTACAATCTCAAATAACCAAAAATTTTCCAAATTAACGATAATTTTGGGTCCAATATATATTTCATTCGTTTCACAATTTCAAAGGTTTCAAAAGTCTCAAAGATAGCAAGGGGCATGTTCGAGCTCCAAGTCCACCGGCTCCTCAAAACGACACACTCTAATACGCGAATAGACCGACGATTAAGATAGACGAGAATTCTCAAAGAGATTCGAACAAGGTTATTCAGTCAGGAACAATCCCAAATCAGCAGCTCCTGCCGAGAGATTCAATAACTAGCTCGCCTCGATTTTTCTGACTATTAGCGTTGGTCGTCACGTCAGCTCCCCCAAACTCCGAAAGAAGTAAAAGGACAAGATTTTCTAAAGACTATGATGAACAAAATTCAAAACTAAGAAGGTTCTGCACCTCACGATGTGCTTGCTCTGGACTCGACTATCCTCCTTAAAAGATTTCTGCATAATTTTTTTTAAGGTGGTAAGAAACACTCCTTGACATGCGTCAACTCACTCCATCTGAAGTTCTACGCCAGGAAGGGAAAGATCAAGCGAAATTATCAAAACACGAAAATTGGCTAACGAAAGAAGCTTCAAGCACAACTTAAATTTGTTTATCATACAAAACAGTAAGGGTTTGCAAAAGTCTATAAAAAGACAAGAACTCAAAAATGGAACAAAGTTGCCTCGCATCCACGAGTCTACGATTCACCGTCTCCTTCATCGATTTAAGTTGTTCTCGGTAGGTCCCGCCGTCACTAGAGAATCGTTCGCGGCTCAATACACTGAAGAGAATTTTTGCAAAAGAATAGGTATTTGCCGCCCTTGACTGGGTTCTAATCACGCATCTAATTGTCCTATAGACAACGGTTACAGAATTCCGAATACCCAAACAACTGGGACTCCTTCGGTCGTCTGCTCCCTTCATTAAGCCTTCTCCTTTCGAGATGGCATTGCGAATGGTCCTCTCTTGAGGACAACAAGTCTTATAGCAAAAGCACTGCTATAAACAGAATTTAACTCGATAACATTATATCGAATTTTTAAACAGACAATTTCTCAAGTCGGGGCTTTGGCGGTCGAGGGGGATACTCCTGCTGTTTGGGCATCGATGTATGACAAAGGCAAGGGCCTTTGCATTCAATACGTAGACCAACAGTAGTCTATTGGTTAGGTGTGCACATGAGGCTTGACTTTGGATAGGAGATGGGATAGTTAAATGATTCTTATACATGTTGCGACCATACATGTCCTATATTATTTGTTATTTATGTGCATAGTGGTGAGCAAGTTAATATTTGTGCTCCCCCACAGGTTGCGGGTACGACGAGGCGAGGCGAGTGGTGGTCGGTCTAGATGACTAGACCATTGTTTGTGTTGCTTCCGCTTTACTTGTGTTTATTTATGACTTGTGATATTTTTTTAACTCTGGATAATTATTGATGTTTTGAAACATTGTTGGGGAGATGCCCCGTTTGACATGGTGATGTCTTTACTTTGAGATTTGGTAACCTGTTATGGGTGTATGTTGACTTTGGATGAGATCCTTGATAGGGTGTTGATTTATGCTTGTTGTCATTGCTATGACTGCATTATATGATGTTAACTTTGGAAATTTATGAGTAACGCCGCAGTTGTTTAAATAAGTTTTGAAAAATTAAATTGATTTTTCTAAAAAGCAATGAATTTTCGTTAAATCAAAGTGGGCGTTACAAGAGACCTCTGACTATGAGGCCATTTTGTGTACCCGCACTCTAGGAAGTCGTGACCTCCAAGTCCTCTCATCAGGTCGACCAATACCTTGAGTTGTACTTACGAGCTCCCTGACTGAGTCAACTTATATCATCATACTAGAGCTCCTTTGGATCAGACACAAGCTACCTGCTCAAGTCGGTCCACCAAGCTTTCTTGGTGCTATATCAAGAAATATCTACATGGGAGAATAGCATGTTCAACTTCGAGAAATGAGACAGCCAAGACAGCCCAAAGTTCCAGTCCTCTAAGGCTATGTTTGGTAAATCAAATAAGCTAGTTTATAGCTTATTTGGTTAGCTTATAAGCTTCTTGTATTCAAATAAGCCCCGTTTGGTAGGACGAGCTTATTTAAAAAGCTCGAGCTTATTTGATAAGCTTGTTTAGGTAGCTTTTCAAATAAGCTAGTTGAATTTTTTATTTCAGCTAGCTTATCAGCTAATTTTACCAAACACTTTTATCATATAAGCTAACTTTTCAGCTATAAGTCATAAGTTATAAGCTATAAGCTCGAAAATTACATATAAGCTATCAGCTAGTTTTACCAAACATACCCTAAAACATGTACACTTGGAAGAATCATAGATTTTATACAATTACCCACAGGCGGACATATTTTATTCTCCATACAACAAAACAAGTTCACTGTAAAGAGACTGAAGAATTAAAGAAATACCCAAATAAACTAGACAAATAAAAAATAAAACAATAAAAATACACTTCCACTTCATTGTACTAGCGAGCAGGAACTCTCGACAAATTTTTTCGTATATTGATTACGAACATCTAATCTCCTCTAGCCTGAACTCTCACACGGACTCCCAGGGTTGACCGAACAGCCGTGCACTAGCAGCCTGATTATATTGCTTCCGGACAATATTGACAAATCAATACACTCCTGCAAGTCGGCATAACAAGATATCAAGACCCACTCATGATCATCATCAAGATACTTGATATCAAAAGTGCCCATCTCCAGCTTCAACCTCTTGCTCACTTCCTCCTTCAACCTAAGGATACCAGACTCCATGGGAACTCGAAACCTGATTATGTCATCTCTGTATGTGGCCTTTATAGTGATCGTTTTCACCTCTGGCCTAGCTTCAGATTGCGGCGTATGATCAAGTCGAGTGGCCAAGCAATCTTTGAGCATTACGGCATCGGGACAGGGTGCCTTCGTCCAACTGTACTCAACGACATGCTCATCGAATAGGGTTTCACCAGCTGGACATACTTTTCTAAGGTCAGGTGAACTTCCTGCATCCTCTATTATATTTTCGCGAAATGGCTCCTCAGCTGCTCCAAATAAATTATCAGGAATTGAGAATGTGACGGGCGGATTAATTTCTTCAGTTTGCAGGCACACCATCTCGTGCGGGCCTCTTGCATTCATGCAGGGCTGATCATTTAAAGGGGAGATTTCATTTTCATTTCTAGGACAAGGGCTACCTTGGCATGAGCCTTCGGGAGTAGGGGTCCCTGTGCTCTCTTCTCTTGAGCCGCTCCTGGAGGATCTGTTTGAGCCTCTGCACGGGAAAAATCCATCACACTGAGAATTTAGGTTTTCGTGTCTTGCATTCAGATCCGGCGGAATATGATGCAAGGGCTCTGCATGTTTTTCATCTCCGGGAGCCTCAGTCATTGGAAAGTTTTTCTTGTCTTCCTGAAATTCAGATTGGTCGGAGGTCGGTGAGTTTTGTTGGTTCAATCCATTCAATTTGGGTGCTGTCCACGAAAGGGGACCAACCGTGACAGGAATAGGACTCGTGCCCAACGAAGACAAACTGAAAGTTCCTCCTTCACCACCTTGTACAGATTCAATTACACGCTTGAGCTTCGTAAGAGAACGATTAACCTTATTTATCTTGCGAGAAGGCCAGCGAGAAATCCCGTGCTGTCTACAGATGCGTTTCATAGTAGTAGGACAAACTGTAAGCCCACCGAAAAAAGAAAAAGAAGAGAAAACAAAAAAAGAAATAAGGTATATGACCAATAAATCGATGTACCAGTGACGATAGTAGAATATAGGTAAGCTTACCGCCAAGGATTTTCGCAGCATCCTTGAGGCTACCGGCGAAATATTGCTGTAGAACGTCTAAGCTAATCATTTTCTCGGCCTTTCCTCGCTTCCTCTCGGGTTTCTTGCCTGTACCCTTCAGTCGAGCAATATTCGAAGCATTTGGTACTCGAACGGGTCCGTTAGCATCTCCCTTAACATTTGCAGGATCAGATTTGGCCACTGCCACCTGCACTTCAGAACCATCGACCTGTGGAGCTTTCCCATTCGGAACGGAACCGGAACCGGGCAAAGCTTTCCCATTCGGAACGGAACCGGAACCGGGCAAAGCCGGAAATAGAGGACTGAAACTCAGATTCTCATCAGCAGCAGAAGCCTTGACAATCTCGACAGACCCCCAATCCTGGTCATGGTCCCTCCCCGAAGCCACCCTCAAGCTCCCCAGATGCTGCTTGACAGTGGCCAGAAGCGAGTCGAGAAGGGCACGCTGGTCCCCACAGCTGACAATGTCTGGAGGCAGAAAGAATTCGAGGACGTAGTCGTCGTCAGCGGTGTGCCTGCTGCGCAGGCAGATGGCGAAGCTGCTTCTGAGGCCAAACATGCGGGCGTAGTGCACGAGCGGGTACTC